GTAAATACCGACTCAGCTAACATTTACATTTACATGGATGGACAGGACATTCCCCAAACTGTAAAGGTGTACAGACTGGCTAAGGAAGGACGAGCAGACGAAAGTGGGTTTGGGGGTGCGCACTCCCGTGGAGGATGCTGGGTGGGGCTCCCGCCTTGTCCAGGGGGGCCTTCTTGGGGCTGCGGTCCCCGAGCTTAGGCAAAGCCACGAGGCCAGGGAGCAGGACTGTGGCGAGCAGGCCGGCTGCCTGGGAGGGAAACAGTGACTACCTGGTCTTGACGGGCAGGAGGAGAGACCGAGACAGGCTCCACACGGATGGCTGGACTTGGCCTCCTCAGTGTGCCAAGGAAGCCACCGGCGAGTGGGGAAACAGCGCAAGCCTTAGAAATGCAATACCCAGTTTAGCCTCCCATCAAATACATTCAGAGGTCAGCTTGGATACAGCCGCCCTCACTAAGCGGGGGGCCTAGCCGGGAGAGGCGGCAGGGGTCTGAGGGCACCCGCATCTGTCCCCCAGTTCCTGTCTGAGTCGTCTCCCGTGGGAAGCTGCCTCAGAGCCTCAGACTTTAGGCTTTACTGTTATTTCCTTTAAAAAAAAATTTTTTTAAACGTTTTCCTTCCATGTCTGAAAAAGTAGCAGCAACCTGCATTTAGAAAAACAGCTTAAATGGTTATTCGGATTGGCCAGGAAACGCTTTCAAGCAATGGGATAAACCATATGTCTGGAGCCACGGTGACACGACACGTAATTAAAAATATATTTATATATGTATACATATTTATATCTCACTTCTTCCCGCTCTGGTCCTAACAGTCAAGGAGGGGTTAGCCCTGAGGCAAGACCACCGAGGAAGGCTGTCAGGAGGAAGGTCATTAGGCCCCCTCCCAGTGCTAGCGATGCTCCTCGCTTGGCCTTCCAGGGAGCGTCAGCCCCCCCGAGTGCATGGTGTCTGGGGCCCCTTTGTGAAGCTAGCTCTCTGAGTCCAAGGGAAGGGTGGGAGAGCCCACTCCCCTGCCTCCTCCACTGGCACCCTCACTCCTAGGCCTCTTTCTCCTTCCAGGGCCCTGCTTCGTTCTCGGTAGATGCTCACGCACACACATGCACACACACACACACGCACACAAACACAGCACGTGAGGGAAGCAGGGAACATTCCCGTCCACGTACGGCTCTCTGAGGGCTGCCAGGTAGCAGCTGCTTGCCCGGCTGGGGCTGGGCTGCCTCACTCTTCCGGACTATGATTTCCCTGGTGCGCTCTCCAAGCACACTAACATCCACCTGGCTCTTCCCTCAAGGCCTCCTGTGGTACCTCTGGTGTCCTTGGGCCCCAGGCTGAGCTAAAGGTGCAGGCCGAGATGGAAAAGGCAGGAAGGAGAAGTTGTAGAGAGCTCGGAGGAAGGGGCTGGGGAGGGGGCAGGCAGAGGCCAGGGGCAGCACAGGCCCCACGGTAGAGGCTACTGACCCGTTCCAGGTACAGCTGCGCCCCCACACCTCGTCTCCAACAGGCTCTTTTTGGGGACTGGCACAGGCTCCCATCCTGGGGCTGGCAGGCAGGTGGCAGCTGATGAGGAAACCCAGGGAGTGCCGAGGAAGCTCCTCCCCACCCCGGCTGCCTGCTTTCCCAGGCTTGAGTCAACAAAAGGAAATTTCCTCCAGCCTGACCGGACCAGGCAGCCAGGGGCCTCCAAGGTGGCCCAGGGAGGGACTGGCCTCAACAAAGGAGCACATGAGGAAGCTGCTGGGCTCTGAGGTTGCTTTCCAGGGGCTCATCGAAATGTGGGCTCCAGACTAGGGGATGGGCTGTGCAGATGCCCGAGACAACCCACAGTCAGCCCCCAGGGCCGGATCTGCACCCTCCTCTCTAGCATCAGAGAACGGTCTGCTCCCAGGACGCGGCACCCCCTGCAAGAATCCCCAGCCTTGTCTCCACCCCCCACCACCCCTGTTGCTTGCTGGGTCCCCTGACGGTCCTGCTCATGACTCAATAAATGTACCCTTTCTTGACAGCCCTGGGGCTGCAGGGCCCAGAGCCCTCCTGGGGCACAGACTGTGGCTGTGGGGGGGCTGGGCTAGGGCACCGACACAGACCACTTAGCTCAATGCTAAGTCCTGGGGAGCCAGGCAGCCCCCTCACCCCCAGTCTTCCCCCAGGGAGAGCTTGGGACTAGTCTGTGTGGAGCGGTGAAGCATCACCTAATGTTTTGGTTTTAATTTGCCAGCCTCATTCATCGCGAGGCCCCGGGCCAGGACGGGTTTAATGCTCTCCCAGTGGTGACAGTATCAGCCCTTTGAGGGAGCAAAGCCGGAATGAGAGAGCAGAGAGGTACTGGAAGCCAGGGGCTAAGGAGCACAGGGTTCCAGCGGGGACCCCTGCCGGGGCAGAAGTTTCCAATTACCCTAATTGGCTACTGGCAAGCTGTCTGTGGCTAGACTCCTTCCAGAGGGGGCCGGGTTTGATCTCTCACTAATCAGGGGGTCTTTGCGGTGCTGACTGTGTGATCACCTCGCCGGCCCTTTTCATTGAAAGAGGGGACTTCAAAGCAGCTGACTTCTGAAAAAAATAAAACAATAAAACAAAAGAGTGCAAGTAGAACCAAACTCCATCTCCTCTCCCGGCTCCTGGCTCCCTGGGCCTGAAGCTTGGGGGCTAAAGGAAGGGGATTGGGAGTTAGGAGGGTGGAGCGTGAAGGTTAGAGGAGGACGCCTCTGTCCCTGGCTCGGCCCCGTGTGGACAAAGGCCGTCAATTACAGGCGGCTGGTGGGGACCGTGCCTGCCTTTGTCCTCCCGGACATCTGCTACACGTCGCCTGCTGCCAGTTGGCGACTGCGGCTGACAGCCTGCGGGAACAATGCAAGCCCGTCTCCGACCCACTTTTTCAGCCTTCTGAGGTCTTTTCTGACCCACGCTGTACCCCGGCGTGCGGGCTGCCAAGGCCTCTGAGGAGTCACAGAGATGAACCCCTCGCACACAGCCCGGCGGGGGAAGCGTTGGATGGGAGGAGGTGGGAGGAGCGGGAGTGAGGAGGGGGAGGACCCGGCCACCATGAAGAAGAAACATGCTTCCCTTACTGGTGTGGTGTGAGCTGCCGCATGCTCGGGCTGGGGGCTCGGATTGGGGGCGCTCCTCCTAGGGATTTGATCCCTGCCCAGTCTGGCTCCAGACTGGCCGCCGGCTCTGCTCGCCTTCCTCCCCATTTCTTTCTCCCACCAGGGCCACCCCTGTCCTCCCGCCTGTCCATCTGGCCCTGTGCACCAGGGCCCCAGCTGCCCGTGGGCCGCCCGCCAGGCACCCTGGCTGTCAGGCTGTCAGTTTCTGGATGGTTCTGTTGTAGTACTGCGTGATGGGGGGCGTCAGAGGGTTCCAGCTGTTGGCGTGGAGCTCGATGACCTCCAGGAGCAGGGACCGTGTCAGCATCGACTCCGAGGGGCACAGCATCTTGTCACGGGCACTGGCCAGGAGCTCGGCCATCATCTCAGGCAACTGCTCCTCCAGCAGCCGTCCTGTGCTCTGCAGCTGCGGGCAGAGAAGTGAGGTTAGGATGTGAGTGGGGCCCCGAAAGGGCTCCAGACCCACCTTGGTTGGGGGGCTGGGGGCAGCGATGGGAAATAGCTGGGCTACTTTAGGAATGTGCAGGCCTGGGCCACGGGGGTTGGGGTGGGGGGCAGGACAGGAAGAGGAAAGGGTGGAAAGAGCTGATTTGAGAGCCCACATTTAACACCCAATATGCCGGAGGAATAAGAGGGACCAGAATATCGCCCACTGCCCAGGGCTGAAAAGAGTCTTCACCAGGAACATGCCGCTTCTCCCTTTATCCACTTGCCTCCCCTCCTACAGGAAGCCTTCCTTGACTACCACCCACAAGCTCAATGGCTGTGTGACCAGCTTCCTTCAAAGGTGATCAGGTGGCATCGTGTTAATTTTCACTTGCTAGGATGTCTCTCGGGAACAAGCTTAGTCATTATTGCCTGCATGTGTCCATGAGGAACCCGAGAGCAGGGGTGAGGTCTCCTTTTCCTCTCTTCCCTTCTCCCCTGCCCTCAATCCCACCTCCCCAGCCCAGAACTGACCCCTGCCCACACTTGTGATACAAAGGGGAGGAGAGAAACATGAACTGGGGCAGAAGGCCAGCCAGAGGGCCAGCCCCCAAGAGAGGCCCCCGCTCACCTTGAAAAGCCCCCACGGGGAGGAGGAGCCTCGATCTGGCTGAGGGTACCCTCAGCCGGCAGCCCCTGCAGCTCCTCTCCCTATGATCTGGGTCCCCGTCTCTACCCCACCCCCACCCTCAGCCCACCCATTTTTCTAGGCTCTGCCCTCGTCACAAAAGCCTCCTTAACCCCTCAGGGCCACCCTGACCTCTCTCTCTTAATTCCTCAGGGATGCATGCTCTGTATCCCTATTTACTCTGTACACTGTCCCATCCACTCTGTGTGTGCACGTGCGAGTGTGTGTGTGCGTGCGTGTGAGAGAAATCTCTGTCCCTCGCCAGACCACACGCTGTCTGAAGGCAGAGACCATGCTTTCTCCTCCTCTCCTATCTCTGGCACCTGAAGCCCCATGGAGGGGGTGACCTCACATCCCATAGATGTGAGGCTACTGTCTGGGCTCCTGGCACTCTGACACCCGAGCTCCTTGGAAGTGGCCTTGGAGGCCAGGCACAGGCCACCGGACAGGTGTGCTCATGCCCTGGTGGGGGGGCCCTTGAAGCCCATCTCCTTACCGCCCTGCCCGCTGAATGTCCCTGGGCTGCTTCTTGAGGGCACAGCTTTGCCCCTGGGACTGGGCCAGAGACAGGTGTCTGAAGGAAGAGCCCGGAGAGCAGCAGCTGCACCTTGGGAAAAGGAGGGAGCCCTCCCAAGGGGGCTGCTTCTAAGTGGACAGTGCCAGCCTCGGGGGTTCCAGCCTCAGCATCTACCCCCAAACCCCACATCACCAAAGACAAGGGAAATATCTGGGGGTGAGGCATCACCTGGAATCTTGTAAGTCATTGGTATGGTGTGCCTGGGCAAGGGGGAGGGGGTCTGGCAGGGGGCAGAAGGAAAGTGGACGATGCCAGCACTCCATCCTTCCCTCCAGAGGACCAGCAGTTCTGTCACCTCCAGCAGAAGTCCATGTGCACTCAGGAAGCCATACCCCACAGCCCAGCTCGATACATCCTTGCCTGGGACTTGTGGACGCCTCCAACCGTCCTTCTGTCCCCATAACTGTTAAGGCGAGAGGGACACAGGGTCTGAGGGGGGAGGCGTCTGAGCCGCACTGCTTACCTCCATTGAGCAGCACAGGACGGCATCTTCCTTCACATCCTGAGATTGCAAGAGCTGTGGAAGAGAAGGGCAGAGAACTTCACTCAGCGGGGGCGGGGCGGGGGGTGGCGGGCAGAGCTCCCAGGCCCCTTAAAGCCGGGAACGAGCAAGGGGCAGGTCAGAGAGACAGCCCGTGAAGGTCGGAGGGCCGCAGGAACCCTGCACGAGGAAGCAGTGATGTCTTGGATGGGATCTGAGCAGCTGGAGGATCTCTGTGGTCACGGAGAATGGGCACCCTGGCCAGGTCAGAAGGCGGCGACTACAGGCCATGGCAGAGTGAGGCTGCAGGTGGGTTTGAAGGCGGCAGCAAGTATGCTGGGATCATCGGCTGTGAACAGCTGGCCAGCAAACATGAAATGAGTGTAAAGACCCTGATTACTGAGAGGGGCTCAGCCCTGGTCTCAGTGCTCCTGGGCCCTGGCTGCAGCGAGGACTTCCAGAGATCAAAGCACTCTTCTCCACGGGCCCAGCTTTGTGAGCCTGCAAAACCATGGCTGCGTTGACATACCCAGAGGCCGAAACTGCTTCCTGACCAAGGCCAGGGCCAGGCTGCTCAGTGCTGGGGCTGGGCACCCCTGCCCAGGCTTCCCACCTTGTCTCATTTCATTCTCTCAATCTCTCTCTCCATTCTTTTTTTTTTAAGTGAGGGGCTGTGTGTAAATTAGGTCTATTAATTAATTTATTTTAATGGAGGTACTGGGGATTGAACCCAGGACCTCGTGAATGCTAAGCCTGTACCCTACCTACTACTGAGCTATATCCTCCCCGCCCCACCTCTTTTAAAATGAGATATAATTCACGTAACATCAAGTTCACCCATTTTCAGCATGCAGTTCAGTGACGTTTAGTAGATTCACAAGGTTGTGCAACCATCACCACTACTTCTAGAACATTTTCATGGCCCCCCAAAGAAACCCATATCCATTAGCAGTCAGTCCCCTTTCCCCACCCCCTGACAACCCCCACTGCCCTTAAGCTCTATAAATTTAATCCATTTTGAACATTTTATCCAATGGAATCATATACCACGTGGTCTTCTGTGAATGGCTTCTTCCACTTAACATCCTGTTTTGGAAGTCCACCCATGTTGTAGCATGAATCAGTTCTTCGCTGCTTTTCATGGAAGAATGACATTCCGCTGTGTGACAACGCAGCTATGAACATTTGTGTATGAGTTTTTACATGGACACAAGTTTTCCCCTCTCTGAGTACACACCTAGGAGTGGCATTGCTGGGTCACGGGGTGACACCACGCTGAACTTTTTGAGGGCCTGACAAAGTGTTTTCTACAGTGGCTGCACCATTTTCCATTCCCTCTGGCAGTGTCTGAGGGTTCTGATTTTTCCACTTCCTCACCAATATTTGTTACTTTCTGCCTTTTTCCCCCAAGTTTTTCTTGAACCCCCAGTAAAAATTCTCTACAGGCACAGCTTCAGAGAAACTCGACCATCCTGTTCCCCACAAACCCCACCGACCACATCTTCTCCTGGTCCTTTGCTGCTGATGCTTCTTCTCCCAACCCCAAAATACATCTCAGTTCTGTCTCTACCCCATCCCCTGCCAAGCTGACCATCACGTCCATCAGATCACCCGCTCCAAGTAATTTTTCTGTCTGCTGGAGCTCTCCGTCTCAGCCCTCCACACTTGTCCAAACTTCAAGGCCCAGCTTTCCTTGGAGACTTCTGGATCACCCCTGGCCCACGGTGCCCCTGCTGCCTTTCACTCCCAAGCACCCCCTGGCTGTCCCGCCGCTCGGCATCCCACGCAAGTGGGAAGACAGTTTCCAGCGTGAACTGCGGCTTCCTGAAGGCAGGGCGGTGCGGCATTTATCTCTGCTGCCCTTTAACACCCAGCACGGCCCTGCCAGCAGCAGGGATTTGCTAAATGTGGGTCGATATGATTTATGCATTGTTTTTGTTTTTGTTTTAAAGGAAGGGTGGAGGATAAGAAGAGAGCACAAGAGGAAGGCATTTTCAGGGTCAGCTTCCTCTCCCACTGACGGAGAACTGGAGTCAAGGTTTCTGACCTGAGCGTGACGTGTTCAAGGAGAGGTGAACCCACATACAACCCCAGGGACTGTTCCCCCTGCAGCCTTGAAATCCAAATTCCGCACACCCTCCTTACCTGTCCCCTTCTGTCACCATGCATCCACCCCCAGCCCAGGCCTCCCCCAGCAGGAGCCACAAGTAGTCCCTTTCATGGGGGCTGAAGATGCATTTACTCAGTGTCAAAAGAGTCCAGGGGACAGGTCACTGTGGGCTGCACTGACCAGAGACATTCTCAGGGACCAGATCCCCTTCCTCTGTACATCTGTCAGAATCCAGCCAATGTGGAGAGAAGAGAAGCCTCCTACACTGTTGGTGGGAATGTAATTTGGAGCAGCCACTATGGAAAACAGTATGGAGATTCCTTAGAAAACTAAAAATAGACTTAATTACCATATGATCCAGCAGTCCCACTCCTGGGCATATATCTGGAGGAAACTCTAATTTGAAAATACCATGCACCCCAATGTTCAAAGCAGCACTATTTGCAACAGCCAAGACACGTAAGCAACCTAAATGTCCATCGACAGATGACTGGATAAAGAAGCTGTGGTGTATATTTACAATGGAATACTACTCAGCCATAAAAAGAGTGAGATAATGCCATTTGCAACAAGATGGATGGATCTAGAGATTAACATACTAAGTGAAGTAAGTCAGACAAAGACAAATATCGTATGATGTCACTTATATGTGGAATCTAAAAGAAAGACACAAACGAACTTATTTACAAAACAGAAACAGTCTCACAGACATAGAAAACAAACTTACGGTTACCAAAGGGGGAAGGTGGGGAGGGATAAGTTGGGAGTTTGGTACTATATATATAATAGATATATATAAAATACTATATATACATATAGTACTATATATGAAATAGATAACAAGGTCCTACTGTATAGCTCAGGGAACTATATTCAATATCCTGTAGGAAACCATAACGCAAAAGAATATGAAAAAGAATATGTGTGTGTGTGTGTATGTGTGTATACATATAACTGAATCACTAGGCTGTATACCAGAAACTACCACCACATTGTAAATCAACTGTACTTCAATTAAAAAAAGAAGAACTGGGCCGAATACTGGTCTCACAGCAGACATGCAGAAAAGAAATCATTTGGGGATAAAGGAGCAGAGGTTGGCCTTGAGCTGCTCAATGATGAGCTGGCGGAGAGCAGGGGACAATCCAGGGAAGGTGACGTCGCCGGCAACGCAGTGCCAGGTGTGGGTGTGCACGCTCTGCCCACCAACACACTTCTGCCTCCGAGCCTTTGGGCGCTTGTCACTGGGGAGTTCTCAGCCACCATGGGGTCTGCAGACTTTCCTTCCTCACTGTAATTCAGGGCTCTGCTCCAACATCACCCCATACACCATGGCTTCCCGTGCAGCCCGCGTGTAAATGATCCCACCGTTCAGCTCCTGGCTCACCCCTCTCCATAGCATCTCTCACCCCTGATATATGATCTACCTGTTTGTCTGTTGTCTGTCTCCCAGGCTAGAAGGCAAGGTCCAGGAGGGCAGGGCCTCTGTTCTGGCCGGGGCTCTCCCCGGCGCCCTGCACCACACCTGGCGCACAGCAAGCACCAGGAAGTATTTAATAAATATGCCTTGAGCAGCTGGGAGAAGACCCACCCAGCTGGGAGAGTCTGCAAGTGGGGAGGGCCTCGCCCCAGAAGGCAGCCCCTCGCCAGCTCAGCCTCCTGCACGCACTTGAAAAGGCGAGAGTGAGCAAGCCGTGGATATCACTGCCCCCTCTCCCGCCACAGCCTGCCAGAGTGTGCATGGTGCAAAATCATAATCGATGTGCCTGCAAACGTGCAGTGCTTGTGGAAACAGCAGTTGGTATAACTCTCTAGGTGGCAACTTGGTGATAACTATCAAGCCCCTCTGACCCAGTGAGACCACTTCCGGGAATTTATACTCCCCATGCCCGCTGCCCCCCACCCTCCCTCACAAGCACCATGACACGGATGCGAGGTTTTTGCTGCACTATTGCAAATAGCTTGGACGGCCACCAACAGGACACTAGTTAAATAATGAGGATCTGTCCGCACAGAGGAATACACTGCAGCACGCAGCTGCCCCTCCCCTCCACACCTGTGTCGGCTCTGGAGTCCTTTTGCCTCCCAGGGCTGCAGACCCTCAAAGAGGGCCAAGGGAAACTTCTACTGAGTCAGTGTCTGGAGGGGTCCTGGAGGACATATAAGGAAGGGCCTCCCTCATCTAGAAAACCCAGCGGGCCAAAGTAAAGACCAGGAAGCAGGTTCTGGAAAAAGCTCGGGGGAGGTGACTCACTTTGCAGCTGGCATACCCGAGTCACGTGCTGCAGCATCCAACCCAGGGTGCTCTGGGAGGGGCTGGTTCCAGGCCTCGGAGGGTCCCGTGACTGTCTGGGATAGCACGGAGATGGGGGCAAGGTGGGCCTAGCCCCATTTACTCGGCAGGAAACATGGGGACTGATATTAAGAGAACTCTGTAAGATTTGCTGGAACTTCTTTCTGACGGTGACTTTGTTCCCGCGTAGGTTTCCCATAGTACTTAGCAGGAAGAAAATCCTTAAAATAAAAATGGTTGGTAGAAATCTCAAGAAGGGGGGAAAGTGGGGTACCTGGTGGGAAGGGAGCTCCTAGGGCCGGAGTGGGTAGTGGCAGCTGGTGGGGAAGAGGGGAGCAGGCAGAATCGGGAGCTCGCGGGAAGGAAGAAGGGAGTCCTCCCTGGATGCACCTCGCGTGGCGGCTGACACATAGTAGGTGCTCAGTGATGCCTGTCACGGTGACTTGAGAGGAACCTGGGGTCATGTTCTGGCCTAAGATCAGCTTCTCCGGGGATCCGAGGCTTAGGGACAAGTGAGGTAACCTGATGACCAGCAACATGAAAAGCCAGGGATGTCACGAGCACTAGCAGCTCTGAAATGTGGCTGATTCTCCCTCCGAGGGGCCCTCCGACTTCTGTCTGGAAAGGCTCGTG